TTATAAATCTGTGATATGAACAGTGTTAGTAATACTATAAATCTGCGATATGAACAGTGTTAGTAATACTATAAATCTGTGATATGATATGAACAGTGTTAGTAATATTATAAATCTGCGATATGAACAGTGTTAGTAATATTATAAATCTGTGATATGAACATTACTAATGGTGGTTATACTGTAAGACTACGATATAAACAGTGTTGTGGTTACAAGGGTTGCCGCAGGACTCGGTGGAGCGTGATCCTTGTTACAGCAGGACGGGGAGAATGAGGGGTGAAAACTAAGTCTCGTGGATATCTCGCTCTCAGCGAGAGTTCAGTGGTCATTTACGTCTAAGATCTATTCGTATCCGATCATTTCCACTTTCATGGTATTATAATGCAAAACGAAGCACGGTCCGAAATATCACGACATTTCATTGTAACAGCAATGTGTGACGTCACTCTTATGAACATTAGTAAACCTCGTGCGCAGAAGAAGACAAACAAGTATATTAAAATCCCTTCTCATCCAGAAGCTTCATTGTAGCCATGTGGAGAAGACGCGCAAACATTCGAAAAAATACATATTTGATTTATAAACCAAACTGTTTTCGTTTTACATCCAGCTTATTCAAATCTAAACCGGCGGACACCATCCTCCATTTCGTGAAGCGTATGTACATCATTCAGACTGACAGTTGTGATTGGTCGACAACTTCCCATCGCCTCCATGTTACTGCCCGAGTTTTATTTGGGGAATACTAGGACGATGTACTACCCTTTATTACATAATAATTAGGAATGCACGAGACGCAATCGAACTCATGTTTAGGCGAATATTCCCGTCCGAGCCCTGTTATTTAAACAATATCATATCGAAGTATGAAAGGAAAGAAATCGACAGCGTAGTTTGGGCGTCATCATCACTTGTTGAATTGTTTTTCAGTTATAAGCAGAACGCTTGTCATAACACGACAAACGAAAACATGCTAAAAAGTATTTTTACAGCAAAAATAATCTGCACTTTTAAACGTGAAAGCCTCATAGTTGGTGTGATGTTTAAGCTATATGTGTAAATATAGGATATTGCTGAGTCACTGCCATACATAGTACAATGTTGTTTGTGTCGGTTCAAAAATTGTCCTTAAGATTTGTAGAGTACACGTGGTACCGATCGACCAAAGAGAACGTGGTGTTTCAGCTTGAGTAATGGGCTGCGCGCGGTATTAATTTAAGTAATAATAGAAGATATTCAATTCAATTCCGTGTTCAGTTAGACCACACCTTAATAAAGACGGCCATGACATCAATGTCATAGTTATAACCAACGCGAACTTTAAACTACACTACCCGCCAATTACACATACATACACAGTCGTCCCGCATAAAATATCTAATTTTAGAGTGCTCTTACGAACACACATCACATAACGGAAACTATTGAGATGAACTTTGATATCTACATGGATGGGTGTGGTTTAG